ATTAATGAAAATACATACCTGCCTAAAAATTATCGTTGTCATAGGCTTTAAATAATCACTAGTATAGAAAGTATTTCGCATGATATCTTTGTCTAATCCTATATATATGTATATATATATAGCATAAATGCATCTTTACTTTCAATTAGAACCATATTTCTAATCTTTTAAAGAGTTGTTACTGCTAGTGGGGATTGTTTGAAAGTATGTCTGACTTTAACTGTGATGGTGTCATTTATCTAAGTGGTCAAGGCAAGATTTTATCTCCATTATCTCCAGGACAAAATATGCTTCATTTTTTCAAAGGGCGCTTAAATACGGATTTAGTTTTGAATAGAGATGTTAAGTTGAGATTCTTTACTGAATAGTGAAATACATTTTAATTAATATCTAAATCCTTTGTTATTATTATTTACACAGCCAAAACCATCTCTGTGGCATGTCATTATAGATAGATATAATAAAGAGTAAGTGCTTTATTACTTCAAACGAAATGGGAATATCGTGGATGGGAAATGTAATGTATATTTAATCCCAAGAATGAAGAATGATTGATTGATATAAACCTTAATATTCACGAAAAAGTTTCATCACAGAAATGTATGATTTCTTCATTTGTTTATTCGTATCCTGAAACATTATTCATCAAGAATAAAAAACTTGTTACTTCTAAAATTTTATAAATGTATTTTCACTGAAATGTTTCCAGCTTGTTTGCTTATTTTATTTAAAAGGCCATCCAATCAGTAATATAATTTACAGGACTAATTAAGAAGACTTTCGTAATGATTTTATTAAATATAAGTTATATAGAATATAAACTATGTTACTAGCCTACTCGAAAGAATAGAGGTTTGAATTAGTCTTAGAACAAATTGGATTTACAGTATGGTATCAATCAATTTTGTATTAGTTATAGTGTGAGACACATGCTTATAAATAGCACTACAGGAGTTTCTTCATGAGTATCTTGTCTCAATTGATTCCGATAGCGAGACTTTTATTTTTATTACTGTAAACTTCAGATCAATTGCATTTTTTATTATTAAAGGTTCGTGCTCAAGATTCTCTCTTTATGTTATTCGTCAATACAATGATTTATGAGACAACCAAAAGCGTTTCTAGTGATACTAAACTTCAAATACCAGACCTGTAAGACTAAATTTAATTATCAACAATAACTTTGTTTGTTTGTTGAACATTTGCCAAAGCTACTCGAGGGGTATCTGCACTACCCCTCCCTACTTTTGGAGTGATAGACTAGAGGAAAGGCAGCTAATAAACACCACCCACCGTCAACGTTTGAGCTATCCTTTACTAATGAATAATGGGATTGATCGTTACATTTTAACTGTTGCACAGCGGAAAGTGAGAGCATATTCGACGAAATATTTCGATCCCGCTACCTACACATTGCGAGTCAAGTAACCTAAACACCAGGCTACAAATATACGTTATTGAGTAGAGTTATTTTGGGGGTATAATATAATTATTATCCTTTAGTTTTATTTCGTAGACAGTTACTTAGATACTAATCAGGTTAACACAAATGTTTTTAAACCCTGAAAATACAGATTGCTAGGCGAAGTCGAGTCATTGAAAACGTAGTTTTGTTGGCCGATGTATTAACACAAATGGAAAAATAATACGAGATAACCAACTTTTTCAGAACTGTATATACATGGAATAACACCCCCTATTAATAAATACTTCACATTTATTGAATATTAGTTCTGTAGAATTTTTACCACACGTATTCCTCTGTTTAATAATGAATATAAACTGCGATCGAACAGTTGGAAAACTCAAAAACTACAGCGTGGTAAAGTATTGATGCTGGGGAAGATGAATATCTTAAGGAATGGTGAGACACTCTATGTATAAAGATTGCACATTCATATGTATGTGAGATATTAAAGTAAGTATCTATGTATAAAGGTTGCACATGCATATGAATGTGAGATATTAAAATAAGTATCTATGTATAAAGGTTGCACATGCATATGAATGTGAGATATTAAAGTAAGTATCTATGTATAAAGGTTGCACATGCATATGAATGTGAGATATTAAAGTAAGTATCTATATTAAAACTGTATTTTGCAAAACCATAAAAGTGGCCAATAAATTACAATCATTTGTTTGGTGATAAAAGTTGAAGCGTACTTTCGTAATTTCTTTCATTACACGGATTTGAACGGAATTCACATAGTATAGTTGAAAATCCAAAGAAAATATAGACAAATTATATGTATTACATCATGTTAAATCTTGTAATTTCTTTGATTACACGGATCTGAACGGAATTCACATAGTATAGTTGAAAATCCAAAGAAAATATAGACAAATTATATGTATTACATCATGTTAAATCTTGTAATTTCTTTGATTACACGGATCTGAACGGAATTCACATAGTATAGTTGAAAATCTAAAGAAAATATCGACAAATTATATGTATTACATCATGTTAAATCTTGTAATTTCTTTGATTACACGGATTTGAACGGAATTCACATAGTATAGTTGAAAATCCAAAGAAAATATAGACAAATTATATGTATTATATCATGTTAAATCTTGTAATTTTTATTACACCCATCTCTTCTGATGCTCACAACACTATAGAATTATTTAATACTTTTTTGATAACTTGGATTGTTTTATAAGCTCTCAAGCTAACCACTGAGCCACGGGGGACATTTTGTATATACTTACTAGTTAAGCAATTTCATTAAAATATGCTAAAATAATAAAAATGTGATAATAAAGATTGTACACATATACGACCATTTCAAGCAAAATGTTCCATACCAAAATAATAATGACAGCTGAATATATATCTTCTTTTACAAATTTAGCAGGATAAATAAATGTTTGGCTTACAAGACTTGTATGAGACTTTATATTAAAAATAAAATACAAAGACTCTTTGTTATTTCGTTTGTTGGTATCGAAATCATATATGGAAATTTATAAACCTACAGACTTATCACTGAACTACCACGAATGTATAGTATTTAAGCGTATTTTTCATTATATATATATGCGTATTAAAATAGATAAAAAAGTGATATGTCAAGTGAAGATAGTAATGGATGGTCCTCCTCCAATTTTTATGCAGTTGTTTTGTACATGTTTAGTGCTCCTATATCCCCATAATAGATTAGGTTTACAGTGGAGTTAAACTTTCCAGCAACGTTGTAAAAACTAGCGTATAGTTCGTCACAAACGATGGGGCAATTACTACCTCCTCTCCCCCATAATATACCCTAACCTCACATTTCATAGCTAACTAAAATATATAAATTTTACAAAATCAAGCTTGACCAACAAAGATGCAGAAAAGTGCAGTCGAGGCAGTCAAACGTAGGTAAATTCCTTTGTGAGCCAATCAGAATTAAGATCATTTATGAAATGAATTCGTGGCGTATTTATAGAATAATTATTGGTAAAAATCAGTTACATTAACAGTTTCTAATGCCGTATTTTCCCTAATACCAAGCAATACCATTCGATTTTATTGCTAATCGGGATCTCTACCAGCCTAGCCTCAAATTGAAATTCGTTTCGGCAGGATTAGAGTAAATAATGTATGAAATCTTGGGCGTGGCCAAATACACCAATCAAAAGGATTTGACCTCCTGAGTCCAAAATTGTAATTAGATCTGAAATCGGTCAATAGATGACGGAGCTTTGAGATAAAAGTTTGTACTTGAACCAAAAAAAAAATAAAAAAACCACAAAAAACAACAACATCAGAGCCATTTTATAAGCCGCTATGCCGCAGCTAAAAAGATCTCATAGATTAATTTAAACTAATCCTGTCAAATACGTTTCAAGTGCCACGGCTATTGAGGATTCCTATTGTTTTGCATAATATTTATCTTGAGCAGGAACTGAGCAGTTGTACTTTGTATTTGAGGTGGCGATTTGTATTCATGTATATTTCACTTTGGAACTATCTTATATTTTGTAGAAGGCACTTGAAGGACACTAAACATCTATAATAATTTTAAATTAATTTTTGGGAGATCTTATTGGTTTTACCCTTACTATTTTTAGTAGTCTAATATTGCATAAACATAAGAATTTAACATCAGCTGTTCGTTGTTTTGTGCCATAAAATAATTCTTAGTTACGTTTTAAAACAGGAAAACACAAATTATTTGAACTTTGGAGACTTATTCTTATCACATATGTGTGTGAAACATACCTGCTTTGATACTGGAAATTTTTGGGTCTGCATTTTTATTGTTGTAGTTGTTGAAGATATCATTTCATTTGTTATCGGCTCTGGAGTGAGTGTTGTGATTGAAACGTTTGGATATGATGGTGTGAGCACTTGGTAATGTGATTTCTCTACAGAAATAGACTCTCGGAGATTTGGTCGAGCTATGTAGTCTCTTCCTATAACGTATTTGGAACTCTCACGAGTAATTTCCTTAAGAAACAGAGAGTCTTATGACAGGTTGACAGGTTCATCACAGAAATCGACCTTCGGCAAAAAAAACATGCAGTAGATCTGCAGTTCCATTTTATGTTGGTTGGATTATGTGCTGCGTCTCCAAGACGCCATTTTATTACTGGATATCTTAACTTTATGGTTACGAATGATGCTTTTAGTGTTAATTTTGCCCTAACTATCATGGTCACCATGTCTTAAAACAAATAAAGTGTGAGAAAAATAACACTGTTAAAATATTATCGTTTGGAAAGAAAATGGGCTCAGGTAGCACGTCCTTCGTGTTTAGTTTTATGATTATAACGATATCGTTTAATTATGACGAATTATAAAGGAACACTTTAAAGCACATGGAGTGTATAAATCAGATGAATATAAAGACGAAAATGAATCTAACATCCAAATTTATCACCTAAATAAGCGAGAAAAAAAAACAATTAGAAGGAACGAGTATATAAAATCTGTGTTAAAATTTCTTCAGTAATTTAATAGTATTTTTTCGTAATCTGAAACATTTCTCGGTTCCATATTATATACAAAAAAACAACTATCAATTTATATTGAGCTTCATTAATAATGGAAACTGTTTTATGAAAGCAAATTTAGATTTTTTTTTCGCTTAATCCTTGATAGAATGAAATCGTTTTAGTAATAAAACTGAAACCTTAACCGATGAATTATATATATATATACATATATCTTTTCTGTATTCTTAATTTTAACGAACAATTAGTGTTCAAAAAACTATAACAATATCGAAACCTTCAAACAGAAGGAATGTAATTTTACCGTATAATATTAAAAACTTATAATCATTTACATTTTTAAGTTGTCTAAAATTTTTATTTAAATAAAAAGAAGATGAAAACAACCCTCCAGTTAAGAAAACATCTAGAAGGTATTAAGGATCAGCAATTAAAAGAATGATGGAAAATAACCTAGATGACTGTTTTCTCTAGAAACGAATTAGGATTATTAAGTAAGATACGCTAATTCTCTGTGTTAGTATACATTAGAAAAACTATGAAATCCAGGAATTAAACAACTGACAGAACAATTCTAAGCTATCTCGCTGTAGATCAATATGCACATTTTACTTATTCGATGTATGAGTTATTTATATATATATATATATTTCTCTATATCTCGACCTACAGATCATGATATGAATTTCATTTGATATTTGCTGAGAAACTGCTAGATGGCAGCACCGATTTCTTTATAACACATTTTTACATGTCTAACGTATTTATGTTTGGTAATACATCTTTTATTGCTACAGCTTTAAGTAACATGGCCTCCTTAAATGATTGCAAAAAAAAAATCACATTATAGAACAACAGTTTCCTTTTGTGGAAAGAAAATGACATTACAAAAATTTCATTATACCTAAAATTCAACTAATCCAAAGTAGATTTTTTTTCTGTGCGAGCTTTCCACTATAGAATATATATATCTTATTTTAACTGATAAATTGTTCAAGTAAAATACAACTTTTTAAATCTTTGTGTTATTTCATGATGTTAAAGATACTTCTAGTGAAACTTTTAGACACTAAAGATAGGCCCGGCATGGCCAGGTGGTTAGGGCGCTCGACTCGCAATCTGAGGGTCGCGTGCTCGAATCCCCGTCACACCCAACATGCTCGCCCTTTCAGTAGTGGGATTGACCGTCACATTATAACGCCCCCACGGCCATCTTTCACTTGATAAAAGTAAATTACTGAACAAGAAAGTCTGTTTAAATATAAATATCAGCTATTATTATTATTAGCAGGAAAACACAAATTAAGGACACTTAGTTTAGGTCACAAAACATTAGTTAGATCACAGACTTAGTATATTTATTGTATATTTTGTAATTTACTAATATATCAGATACTAAATCTGTGTTTATTCATTCAATTACAGTATTCTTGAATACCCCCTATATCATTTTAAAGTCTTGCTAATATGTCTCAATCATGTATATAACATTTAAAAGGTGGAGTTTAAAACTACTGAGGAAAAGGAGAGGCTTTCTTTAATAAAGAGTTCATAATCTGTGGTTCCGGAGTCAAGAATTTTAAAGTTTGCTAGAAGTATGGGGTGGTTGTTATTCTCGCTGTGCATTCGTATATAAATACACTTGTGGTAGCTGTAAAGCTACCTATATTGGTAAAACTACACATCACCTGCAAATACGTGCACAAAAGCACATGGGAATTTCAGTTAAAAGCGGATGTAAGCTAATTAATCCACCAGAGTCCTGTATCCGAATGCACAGTGCGAATAACCCCATATTTATAGAATACTGAGAAATATTACCAAATGCTATTCTGTAATCATTACTATGATTTACTGCTGTACTCAGTTATCGCCGGTCAGACATTTATTATAAAATAAACTAATACATTGGGAAACAGGTGACTTTTTTTACCAAATACAGTTACTATCATCCAAACTGACTACCTCCAATAAAATCCATATTTTGTGTTTTATGTATGAAGATTATTTGTTTATAACACAAAAGTTTCATTAAATGCTGCTCACATACAAACTTTACAGTTATGTACACAAAATTACAAAAAAATATATATATTCTAGTTAAATCATTTCAACTATGGAGTCAACACCTGATATTAGATCATGTATTGTATACAAAATGAAAAGAACTGTATTCAACTGCAAACAGATAATTGTAAATACTTCTTGCTGGAAATATTTATTTCTTTTGGATCTTCATAATAATTTATGTAAATATTAACTTCTTTTCTCAGTTTTCAACTATTTAATATTAAATATTTAGAAACAAACTGAGATTCTGTGTTTTTTGTTGTCTTTTGATAGCTTGAAGAGATTGTTTTTATTTTTTTGTTAAATCTAACAATTGAAATAGAGTCAACAAACTCATTTTTGTCAAAGGAGAGATTGTTTAACACACAAACAGTATTGCACATAAATGATACAACAATGTATTATTTGACATTTCAAAGAACTAAATTTACTAACGCGATCTAGACGTCCTACAGCCTGATCTCGAATTGCTAGAGACCCTGTTTCACAAGGAATATCAAAATCTTGGAAGTTAACTTGAATCCGATCAGAGAAACTTGAGTTTGCAATGAAATGCCACCGACAATGCAATGCCGATGGATAAGGATTGGGATATCCAGGAGACGTCAGCGTTTCTGTCTCATCTGTGACCGGAAGGTAACCTCCACATACAGCTGAAAGATTATTTCCAATATGTAAAGATCAAGAAAGTATGTTAATCAGTTCTCAATAACAAGATGTTAAACAATTTGTGGTACATAAAGACACCTGTAAAGAGTGTTGAGACATTCATACCCGAGTCCATCACAATTACAGAATACTCACATATGTTTGTTACATAATATTCACAACCACGGAAATAATAAGAAACAACAAATTATACATTACACTCTATACTCTCGAGACACTGCAGCCATAATGAAGACATAGCAGACATCCACTCTCACTCAAACAGCAAATATATATCATTCACCATAGCTTAAACAAGAGCTCTATGACCAGTCCACTACCCTTACAAAAATTCCCAGGAAAAAGTAACTGGAAAAGGCCTCAGTGTAGAAACCAAAATGTTGTTTTATTTAAGAAACAAGACATTAGTACTCTATTGCAAATTGAAACCTTAACAACCCATATGCTGGTTATAATATCAATGAAATACAAGATAAAGTATTACTTAACTCCAATCTTAAAACAGTCATCACATGATTAAGTTATTTGTGTTTTTAGGTGTATAAAACCGATTTCCAATATGTGTTATTTGGTATCAATATCTAGTTTAAACATAAGGTCGTGGAATTGTGTTGTGTACTAATCATCATTTAAATAACTGATGTTATAACATAAATTCTCTCTGACCAAGACAATTCTTTAAAATAAATGTAATTTTTACATACGATCTTCAGATGCAAAGCTAGCTTCAAACCCTGCTTTTCCTGTACGATCATCACTATGGAAATGAACAAGAAGTGTATTTGTTGAGCTGATTACAGGGCTTGGTAAGGATGACCCACAGTATTTGTCCACTACTGGGTCTATCGTGAAGAATCCATCCCTCACCTAAAAGACCAATAGAATGTATAACTCGCTGAACAGTAATTAATATCCTTAACCCTCTTCTGTATCATAGTTACTTAGATGCAAGAAAGTCACAAAATATACGTACATATGTATTACAAAATACCAAACGTTTCTCGGTTGAGTTTTCAAATCTTGACACACAGTTTTCTCTTTCACAATGACCAAAGTTTAAGGAATGTAGTCAACAAAAATAAAACAATAAAACAATTCCTACAGGAGCAACACGTGCAATGTCAAGCCTGGTACAATATAGGATGTACAATATAGGAATTTTAAAAAATAAACCCTAAACAGATATATCTGAAGGAATTCTGGTCCAACTTTCTTCTGATTTATGGAAATCTTATCTCGAGTTCTAAAGAAAGTTTTTTGACATCCAAAGGAAGAATATCATTTATTTGTTTTTTTTATGTTTTACTGGACAAATATGTGTCAATCTCCATTTTCCTAGGCCCCGGAATGGTAACCCAAAAAAATAATTTTATCCATTCATCATGTGTGATACAAGTTTTATCTAGATGTTGTAAATAAATACTTAGACTCGTGTATCTTGGGTACCTTTTCAAATGAATTATGTTGCATACATGAGTAATAAACATTATAATTTGAATAAATTCGTTTTACATTTACTGTAGACAAGTGAATTTCTAAACTCTACAACATATACCACTTAAAATTTGCCATCAGATGCTAAACCTCACTCACGGCTAAAAAGTCATAAGAGCATTTGGTCATGTTGCGTGGGCTTTCCTCAACATCAAATGTCTGGAAAGTTAAGCGAATAACTTTGTTTGGATCAGTCATTATGTGCCATACACAATCCAGGTTCGGTTCATAGCTTTGATCTCCATCGATATCTATAGAAGCCAGAAGCCCAGTATCTCCAACTAATGTCCCACCACATCCCTGCAGTTCGCCTGAAAAAGACAAAAAAAAGGAGTGCCACAAACTTTAATTACATAAACTTTAATATCATGCACTAATTGATAATTATAATAATAATAATAATAAAGAAAGAGGCAGATTAAAATTGTCTCAACACCTTGCTACTGAACTAATTAGAAATAATTTCAGGGAGAAACCCTGAAACATTAAATGCCTTAAAAGCCAAGGTGTTGGCTCAGAAATCTTTGTTTGTTTGAAACAAAATACAGTAATACCCTGGATGCTTTATTCACTGTTATTTCCTGCATTCATCTTAAGATACAAAATCTATTGTTATTTGTTGGTTACGCATGGGATGAAACTGGAAAGGGATAACTTTTAATTCTTAAATAATTATAAGGCTTCAGCCTATCTATTTAATACTAGCTTATGTACCTGTTCAATGCATGGGAAAGACAGAGGGTCCCTAAGAGTGACACAGATTTGGAAACTGCCTCTCTACGTCACTCCCTGCAGGGCTCTAAGAATGCATGCTAGGTTTGTTGGCAATCAGTCCAGCAGTCGCCAGTTATAAGCAGACACATGCACTGAATTTGTCACATAATGATTTGGAATAATCTTTGAATTAATTATAATTTTTTTAGTTATTGGTGCGAGATATTTGCAAATAAATACAGAATGTCCAAAAAGTTTGGAACCACAGGTACTTCAACGAATTTTACAGAATGTGTTTGACATGCTGTCCTTGTAGTTTGAAAAAAGTTTGGAAAAAGTATTTCCATTCTCTCTCTGAACACTTCAAAGCACATTCGTGTCATTGTCAATGGTCAAGCACTAGCCTCGAATATGTTGTTTCAGATGTTCATTGTCCCTCATCTTATCTTTGTACACACGTGCCTTGAGCAGTCCCCCCCCAAAAAAAAATCCATGGGAGTCAAGTCCAGAGATCTTGAGGACCACATCTACTACTCAAATGTCCAGGGAAAATGTTATTTAATCAAGCTTGGACATCCAAGTTTGCAATTCACCTGTGGTTCCAAACGTTTTGGACACCCTGTACAAATAGTGTGGTGGAAATTACTACATATTATTTCTCAGACCATCCCTCGTTAGGTAGACTGTCAAATATCAAACATTTAATTATATTCGTCTTAATGGTAACTTCCACGTATAATTAGTAGAACAAAAGTTGAAACGACAAAGCTAGTCACATGGTAAATCTGCCTTTCATCAGCACAAAGAGCTGTGGAAGAAGGAATTTTTCTTTCTGTTCCAGTTCAAATATTTGTATCAATTAATGATACTGAAAACATGAATTTGTAAAATATGTTTTTCTTTAAATACTGTGTAAAATGTATTTTGAATATGAACTATACATGATTGGCTACATTGTTTGTAAGGGGGAAGCATTAATTTAAAATTTCATATTTACTGGATACACAAAGATAACATTTTCCTACCAAATGTGGTTGAAAATGCTGCTGAAAAACCTCCTTTATGAACAGAATGATCAGTTCTGAAGCGGACTACCATCTGATTGGTTTTCGAAATGATCACAGGAGGTAACCTTTCTCCACAGAACTTTCCAATCAGAGGTGCAGACGTATTAGCACCATTATAAATAGCCACATAATCAAAAATACAGCCCCCGCTTCCTTCAAGTTCAAAGTAGAGGAATCTATTAAAAAAATAATACATCAACGATTAATTATGTAAATTAGAATCTAATTATTAATTGCACTGTCTCTGTGATGGATAATTTTTCCACACAAAGTTATATTTTATAAATAGACACAAACAGAATGCGTGTGTATTTTTTCTTTGCAGGTTTCAGAGGCATTATGGGAAGTAAGCATTCTCCACAAAATTTTCAAATCAGAGATGCAGGTAAATCAACGTTTGTTTTGTTTTGTTTTTGAATTTCACGCAAAGCTACACGAGGGCTATCTGCGCTAGCCATCCATAATTTAGCAGTGTAAGACTAGAGGGAAAGCAGCTAGTCATCACCACCCACCGACAACTCTTGGGCTACTCTTTTACCAACGAATAGTGGGATTGACCGTCACATTATAATGCCCCCACGGCTGAAAGGGCGAGCATGTTTGGTTGGACGGAGATTCGAACCCGCGACCCTCAGATTGCGAGTCGAGCGCCTTATCCACCTGGCCATGCCGGGCAAAGAAATAGTAATGAGTATTGAATAAGCAGGTTCTCTGTACTGTAAGTTTTAAGTTACTTTAGTCCGTTGCTACCACGTGGAATTAAAATATCTTAAGTTAGCTCTTAGATTAGTTTCTCAAATTATGGAAAACGACTTTTATTGAAGGGCTTTTACACTTTCACCAATTAAATTTTTTCATTTATTCTCCTTTGTATTAAACATATCGTGTTCAAATAGTCTTAACTGTTCCCAGGAAATATGCAAAGACATTTCTTGACGTGAAATTTCCGTAAATTAACCTATATGTGTCTAAAAAATAATCAAACTGAATTAGCAGATTGCATAAAACGAGGCCAATATTATATTTTCCAATGTATGTTGAACATTTTAAACTGTAGCATCATCAATAAAAAACAGAGCTAAAAATAACATGAACTTTATAATAACAAACTACTTTTTTTTCATTATATTGACTTAAAATAAGGAATTCATTCTAATTTCAAAGATACTTTTGTGAAATACATAACACAGATTATTTGATCATGGTAACCAAATCAATATGGTTCATCTAACACAGGCTAACCAAACATATTTTTATCACTGTATCATGATATAATACATTACAAGAATCCCAAGTCATAAGTTTATATACATACTTTAACTTAATAGCACGATTCTGTTCAACAGTAATTAGCCATATGCAGTCCAGGTTGGCTGTGTAGGTCACTGGGTGCCCTGGAGACTGGAAGGAGCCAGATGGTTCTTGGAGCTCTCCTCCACAAACTATACAAGAATTGTGATTTGTTTTTAACTTATCTAAAGATAAAAGTCACTAAAATGCAATGTAATTTGAAGAATAAGTTTAAGTAGCAAACTTCGGAATACTATTTTTCATAATGTTTATCAAAATATAACTTAAAAATGAACAGAAATGATTTCTATCTTCATTAACATATGGTATTTGGTACATAAAAATATATTATGCTTCAACAAAACAACAACAAATTGATATACAATTTATATAAAAAGTAAGTGCTATCAAGCTTTCCCATTACTAACTCATTAAAACTAACAACATCCATCTGAGAGTGGACCCTTTGCATAAGTTAAAACTTAGAGTTAAAAGGAGTTATTAAGTTGCTACGTTATAGAATTTATGGCATTATACATGATAATTTAACAAGACAGCCTGGAAAACATAGCTTTTATTCAATAAAACTAAAACTTGAAGTAGAGCTTTAGATTGAAATCTGGTATGTCCTTTTAGTAAGATAGGCAGTGTGATAGATAGCAAAGTACTTGAAGTTACTTAAAGTTTTAAAACTGTCACGTACATGATTATATAAAACAAAAAATACTTAATAGAGCATATGGTAAACCACTATTAGTAGAAAGTATAACAATAATATATTTTAAAAGTACTGACGATCTTATCTATTAACTTTTCACTTACAAAAGTTAACAATTATCCTTTCATTACTTCACCAAATGTTAAATCTTTAAAACTGTGTATCTTATATTTTACTTTGTTTAATATATATATATATATATGCGTGTGTGTATAAAATGATAAAGAAAAATTATGTATATTTCAAAAGGCTCAAGGAATATATGTCTGTTGTTGTCAAAGTTTCTTTATCTTGCTTTTGTATTTTTATATATATTTAAGCTATAATATAACTGTGTACTATAATACTGCACCCGTTAAAGAAAAAGACATGGGATAAAAGGTAATAAAGGACAAAATGACACATCTAAATAAAAACGTTTTTTTTTAGTTTCATGTTGTGCAATATTTTGGACAGACATCCTTCGTCAGGCAGTAAAAAAACTGTGAAAAACAAAACATACTTGATATTGAATATGTAGCTCTAAATCCCATTAGTGTTAAAGAAGAATCCGTTTCAAAGATCAGCATCATAGTTCCCTGTGAAACAAATGGCCCAGGGGCTTCACTACCACAAAACTTGCCCAGCAACGGCGAGGAGGTGCTGTTCCCTTCATATATGGACAGAGAATCAAATCTGCAGTTGGTAGACCCTAGAATAATAAAATAAAGAGTGAAGGTTCGTGTTCAAGGGACACCGTCAAGAGAAACACAGGATGAAGTTATTATCAACAAATATTCGGGTATTTCTTGTCTTATATGAAAACGTGTTCCAATACTAAACACGCAGTTGATAGAAACATACCTTCAATCTGGAACTCTTCAGAGTTGAACGTTAAAGATATCAAACTATTTGAATGATGCTTAATGATGTAAACACAGTTAAGAAAGTTTCTGTAGCCATCTGGGAATCCAGGAGAGTTGATGGTACCTTGTATTTCACTGAACACTCCACCACAAACTGCAATTAATGAAAGGATATTACAGTTGGCTTTATACTATTAAAAAGTACACCCTAAGTATAAAACAAGTATCCAAGCTTGAAAAATACATAGATATTGCATAAAAATTACTAGTTTATAGTTGACAAACCCTCTGGTTTTAATAAAAAAAACCTATATATCTGAGCCACTGAGCTTTAAAAACACAAAACATCTGTGCACAGAAACAATATTTTAGGCACTAAATAACATTTCTAAAGTACAAAATGGAAGGAATTATCATACAAAAATTAGCAGTTGAAGAAATAGTTGTTTTCATTACCAAGTTACATTGCACAAAAGATACAAGTTATAAACTGTATGATCATTGTCTCTATGATAATTTAACAGGCTATCTAGGACTATAAGAAAAAAGCTGAAAAATATTACCAGAATTATACTTGATTTTAAAGCCATCTCCTTGGACATTCTCGTTTGAGCGAAAGGTAACTCGAACCATATTACTTTCACTAACAACAAAGGTGTTATTCCTGCCACAGAATCTGCCTAAGTCCACCCATTGTCCATCCAGAAAATTTTCAAACTACAATAAAATATTAATGCTGTTTAAATATACTCATTTTCATTCACCTAATAAAAATAGACTTTTAATGTAAAAACTAATTAAAAGTACATTCCAAGCTCTATTTATGTTATTACTGTATCACTAATTAAAAACCAGAATGATTAAAAATGTAAAGGAAGAAAAAAAATGCTCTCTTTGGCCAAATTATACGGTACAAGATTTTTAATTTAAAGTTGTGGGATATCTCTTTTATAAAGCACATTTCATTTTGTTCACTTTCCCTCTAGTGGATTCTAAAAATGGTAAGTTAGAGACACTTTAACCTCTTAACTTAGAACAAAAAAATTAATTAATTGACACCAAGACATTACCTGTACATGGGCAATATTTTTAATTTTGAAGTTATAAACTCTATATCTTAAAGTACAAATAAATTATATCACAATATTTACTACTTATAATTTACTGTATACAATAAAACTTGTTTAATGAGACAAAATTTGGTTGACAACTCTTTTTAAACCAACTTTTATTGTTTCTCCTATTGCACTTTCAACACCATATTTATCCAATTTTTGAAGGAATTCAACAATCTTCTGGCTACCAATTATGGGTTCTAAAGTTTAAAAGACTATCACAACCTTTTCAAAACTTCCACTTCGACATTTTAATTTTATGAAAATTGTTTAAGAAGGTAATGATAAAACACTGCAGTATGGTGACTACTTTTAGTTTCACCACATTTTAACAAATTTTAGCTCTTACTACACATACTGCAAGCCATGTAAAGGTTTCCTATATACCGTATTTGCCCGAATATAACCCGTACTTTTTAAATTCCAAATACCTTCCAAAAACACTGACTGTGTGTTATATTCATGCACGTTCAATTTTGTTAGGTATTTTACTAGAGGCTATCACCAAAAATTATAAAAGCATCATTAAAGGTTTAAAAAAAACTTGCATGTCCAATGCAATGTATGGGATGGATGATGACATTCTGTGGGAATCAGAAGAGGATGAAGCAAAAATTCAAGGAAGCAAATCCGATGAATGCAATGAATCTGATGGTAGCGACGATAAAGATTTATGTGAAGATGAATGATAAGCTTATAATGCTTGGAGAAGGCTTGAATGGGTAATGAATGGGTCATCATATGACAGGACCTTGTCAAAACGTTGTACATTTGCTGTTATGTAAAACTTATATTAAAGTTTTTCTTCAATATCCATTCAAGCCGTCTCCAAGCATTAGTAGTCTCAAATTGGGTTCTTCGTCACTGAAAATGATTAGCTTAGTGTATTAGTACTTATAAACTTTTTAATAAAACTGACACGTTAAAAAAATGTCAATGAAAGATTTCCAAAAATGTTTAATACATCAGTAGTTGTTTACTGTATTTAAAAACTATTCAATACATTTTGTACAACTGACGTGTAAAAAAACAAATTTTCTTCAACTTAATCTTTCAAAATTGGACCCGCATTATATTCGGGTAAATACGGTAGCACATAACTGTCATCAGTTAAATTACATTAGTTTTGTTAATTATTTCAATAATAATATTTATTTCTGTATTATCAAAGTCTTATCACTGCGCTTTCTCAAATCTTGTCACATTTTCTTTTTTGACTTCCACTTAGGATTTATTTTATTATTACTTCACATGTAGCGTGTAGATTAGTTAAAGTTGGACTGATTGTGTTAGACACATCATAGTATATTTAATATATTATTTTTCTTTGTTATTGCACTTAACCTGATTATATTTAGAGTATCAACATTCTCACTATTATTGTACAATTGTTATTCAACGAATATCTTAGTTATTCTTTTGTATCTTCAAACCTATAAGTCTTTTGTTTTACTACCTCTACTGTCCTGCTGCCCAACTCCATAGCGAAACAGTAATTGTATAGTCTATTCTTTCTTTAACTGTTATTTTCATTTACAGTATTGGTTAGAATGCTTAATAACTCTTTTTTTTTATCTTCACAGTTTTTATTATTATATTTTTATTTTAGGTTATGTTTGCAGTGTTAGCTTAGTATACAGAATTAGAACTAACCAAAGTCTACTAAGCTGGCCAAACTTTGTGTTTGTTTGTAATTAAACACAAAGCTACACAATGGGCTATCTGTGCTCTGCCCACCACGGGTATCGAAACCCGGATTCTAGTGTTGTAAGTCCGCAGACATATCGCTGTGCCACTGGGGGGCCAAAACCTTGTGAGATATATTATTTGGATTACAGCCACAAATTCTACTAACATCAAGGATACTTAACTACACATTTTAATCTTTATAAATAAGAACTGCACATTTAATTAGCTATACTCATTACAGCATTGGCTTTTAGTTGTGATCTATGTAGACAATTGGTTTTAATCATATAATAAAAAACAATTCCCCACTTAAGATACACAGTGTAAAAAAAAATTATAAGTGTATTTGTCTGTAAAAGTTCAATTAAACAAGCTATTTCAATCAGAAAATCACACAGGATTTGTTGTTTTTTTTTAACTTTGAGCAAATCTACACGTGGGCTATCTGCGCTAGCCATCTCTAATTTAGCAGTGTAAGACTAAAGGGAAGGCAGCTAGTCATCACCACCCATCGCCAACTCTTGGGCTACTCTTTTACCAACGAATAATGGGATTGGTCGTCACATTATAATGCCCACACGGCTGAAAGGGCGAGCATGTTTTGTGGGACGGGGATTTGAACCCATGACCCTCAGATTGCGAGTCGAACGCCCTAACAACCGGGCCATGACGGGCCAATCACATAGGATAAGTACCAATGAAAATCAAAAAGTAAATTAAATAGTACCATGGTCAAGCTTCTAAAATATTTAAAATACATAAGTCTAAATTAATTTTCCAACTATTCAACAATATGTGTACATATAATTTAAATTTTAGTAAAAGCAGACCACAAGTTTTGATTATATTGATAAATTGCAGCATCACAGAAACAAGAACAAAAACAACTGAAATAACCTATTTGCATCTTCACTTTTTATTGATCAAGAGGCCCAAATTAAACAGAAACTTATATGACACCATGATTATTATTGTAATCACCAAAAGGTAAAACTATTTTGATAGAGATGCTCAGTGTCTAATGCACACAATTAGTTCATAAAATGCAATAAAATTACTAACAGAAAAACCTCACAGATCTATGAGACCTGAACACTATACTATAATACTTAAAATTCACTTTGTTATTTAATGTTAACATTTATATCCGTAAAACAAATGAGGATGAAACAAAAGTACCTGAATATAATCCGCATTGCAGTTTTCGTGCATTTCGACATCAAAACGACCAACAAATGAAGCATTAACTCTCATTCCCACACCCAAAAGGATAGTCCATACGCACTCAACATTGTTTGGATAGGCTTGGGGATAATTAGGTGAAGTAAAACTTCTCCGAGCATTGTGAAAGAAACCACCACAACCTGTAAACAAAATATAAAACTGGCAGTTTCAGACATATTAGCTTTCATTTAAAATTTTCAACAGTCACATCAATCTTTATAGAATCTTTTAATTTTATAGCTCATAAACAGCACATAAGCTCTAAAACAACAGAGCATTAATGCAATGTTTTTTTATCTATTTTCAACTCAGTTAATTCATATTTCACCATTTATACAACTTGGATTATACATCTACCTAATAATAAGTGAAGTGATAATGTGAATTGAATTTATCATTTAATTTAAATAGTTGGGTACAAGTACAAAGTAAATATTGCTCATTTAGGGTATTATGAGAAATGTGTTGAGACACTCCTTCGAAACTTGCCTGATCTTAATAAAATTACTTATTATTATAAAAACAAGTTTCGCATTCTGGAAAATGTTGAAAAAAGTATGTAAATTGTCCAATCACTTCAATGGGATTTAAACTGCACAATATATGCAGCCAATGTTGTTGATTTTTCAGAATTTTTTAATGTTGAACATCTTTTCCACTAAGTTATCTAGTAGTACATCCTGGTCTGTGAGTTAAACAACTTTTTTAACTATCAGCTTTTCTTGTAATTTACTTGTATATATATAGGTGTAAAAATTCTGACAAAATCATGCCTCTTAATTGTATTTTAATATATCCACATTTGATGTGTACATCAAAACAACATTCTGTCTTCATTTTATATTTTAATGTTATCATTAACCAATCAAATTCAATATGTAGAAACTACTTCCTTTTTTTAATTAGTAACCTCTTGTGTCAATATGACTTGTTTTGTCTAAATATTTATCTAATTTGTGGGCATTACATGGGTGTATTAGATTTTGTAAAAGTTCCACAAAAATCTCTAGTTATAAAATATACACCTTAAAGAAAGGGTTAGTCACACTTTATAAAAATGATACTTAAATAGTAAAATAATTAAACAATGTAGATCCAAAGGACACAATATTTTAAAGTAGAAAGCTTTAAGTATTCACTGAGGAAGTGAATACTCACAATCCAAACAAACATTAACAAAGTCTGGACTAGATATAATAGAGAACCCTAAAAAACAACAACAATGCAATAAAACTGTAAATATCTCTTAATATGGTAACAAGATAACAAACAAGAATTTGATGGTATTGTTTGTTTGTAATTTCGTGCAAAACTACACGAGGGCTATCTGCGCTAGCCGTTCCTAATTTAGCAGTGTAAGACTAGAGGAAGGACAGCTAGTCATCACCACCCACCACCAACTCTTGGGTTACTCTTTTACCAACGAATTGTAGTTCTTTGCAGAGAAAACACACAATATGAAACAACACAAGTAAAAATGTCATTGTGTGTTGTTTATACATAGGCATTATTAACAGAAGTTGTAATATCTTTGTATTTGATACTAATACCTTGTTGACAGAAAGTTGCATCTATAAGCTATTACAACAGTTGTTAGAAATGAACACATGTATTGTTTTCTTTAGAGGCCAGAACTAAATCTGTGTGGATCACAGCTGCCACATGAACAAATAGCTAGTCATGGTATGTGGATAGTGCTTTCATCTTCTGGTGGGTCAACTGGAAGGGGTTTCTCCCTTAATTACAAACTTGCAAGTAAGTTCATTTCAGAAATGTGTCAACAGAAGTATAAATAACACCATATAATATGGTGCTGAGTAGCATGGAATAGCACCTTATCGTATGGTGCTGAGTAGCATGGAATAGCACCTTATCATGTGGTGCTGAGTAGCATGGATTAACACCTTATCGTATGGTGCTGAATAGTGTGGGTTAACACCTTATCATATGGTGCTGAATAGCATGGGTTAACACCTTATCATGTGGTGCTGAGTAGCATGGAATAGCACCTTATCATATGGTGCTGAGTAGCGTGGGTTAACACCTTATCATATGGTGCTGAGTAGCGTGGGTTAACACCTTATCATGTGGTGCTGAGTAGCATGG